CATATATATATATATATATATATATATATATATATATGTATATTAAAAGGTATCATATCCGATATCCTACCAATTCCGCTTGCGAGAAACCTACCAAATTATAAATTAATTATTATTAGTAATATACGTATTCTAATACAATGAGAATATAATAAGAATACTTTAAAATATATCAATACTAATTGGATTCAGCATACACTTTTGGTAAAGTTGTTGGTGAATGTAGACAAAACAAAAACTATTAATTCAAAGGACTAGCTAGGTCTTTGAATATAAACGGCCATTTAAATTTAATTGTATATTTCTTAATTTTTATTTTTATTTTGAAAATTGAACTTTACAAATAGAAAAATATCAAACTTTTGTTTTTGTCAAATAAATATTAAATTTGTTAAGTAAATACTAAACTTTTTAAATGATTCAAAAATATACACAAACTATATACAATTGTTAAAAAAACAACTATAATAATTCAAGGTGTTTGCATCTATTTATGTCACGTAAATTCATTTGTTTATTTTGATAATCTTAGAAGAAGAGTTAAGTAGTTTTTTATAAATTTAAAAAGTTTAATGTTTAATTTGATAAAATCAAAAGTTTAGTATTTTTTTTTATCAAAATTTAAAATAATCTTTTTTGGATTTTATTTTTTTTTATTTATTTTTTTATTTTGTTATAACTAGAAAATTTATTGGTTTCCGATCCATTTAATTTCTCTAGTCCGAAATTAATCTTTAGTGACGCAATGAATTACGCCTTCTCCTTTGTATTAGTGAAATCGAACCCATAAAGTTGAAATGATTTTATTATCTCAAACACCATTAAACCACCAATTAGTTGGTTATGTTTTATTGTTAGTTTGAGTTCTTAATTATTTTCCAAAATTTACTGAAAGCATATTTATTCCATTTATTCATTAAATCTTAAAACTGTAGGAATTGATACTGAAACAGAAATTGTCCCAAAGACATAAAGTCATACGTGCACTGTAACATTGTCTGAGCTTCCGACACTTGTCGTCACCTCATCAATCCAATTTTTTCTTTACCATAAATTAGAAATATAGAATAAAAAAAGGGAAATGTATTTATTAAATGTTTGCTATTGAGACACGGAGTACACGTAAGCATGCAGGTGTGCGTAAATGAAAGCGAGAGCTCGAGAATGGAAATAAAATAAAGGGATACGTACAAAGTAGTGAAATGTGATATAACGCAGAACCTAATCTCCGTCCATTTTCAGACATATGGGACGTTGCGAACCGTCGATGTATCCTTTTCCTGATAATCCATGTTTCTGGCTCCATTTTATTTTTATTTTCTTTTTCAAATTGTACTATATATATATATAATATTCTTTGTCTTTATTGTTTCATCTATTATTATTATTATTATTATTATTATTATTATTATTATTATTTCATGCTAGTATTTATTCAAATACATGAAAAGTATGCCAAACTGTTATTTATTTATTTATTTTGATTACAATAGCTAGCTAGGAGCCAACGACCGACAAAATAAATAATTTTTGGAGTTTAGTAATGGGGTAGCTAAGATAGGTCCATGAACAAATAAATGGTGGGCCCATGCCCGTTTCTGGGCCCATTATGTGGTGGTGAGAGCTGCTATTGGCCCAAAAATTGACAATCGGCGAAATATGGAGCCCATCTGTGTTTTCCCCTGACTCTTTAGGGCTCTTTTGGGTTTATTGGGCCTACGCCTTTTTGTTGTGTAGCCCAAATATAATGTTATGGTGGTGAATGTTATTGGGCTTTTTTTGTTGCTTGGGCTTTTAATGTTTCGCATATTTTTAGATTTCCCCAATTTAAGACCCATCAAGACGTCGAGTGGGCCCCGCTACTGTCGTCGAGTGCGCGTTCAACTCACGCGCGTGATTCAGCATGGACCACGGAAACGGTGTACGAGCCTTCCTCCTTTCGTCGTCCGTTTTCACACCACAATATATGGCTCTCTGTGTGCGTGTAAATATATATATAACGTGTTCTTAATTTTTTTTTTTGAGCCAATTACTGCAGCAGACAAGGCTGTGGATTGTAAATGGGTTTCTACAATCGTAAAAGGGTCTTCATATTTTCAAAAAAAAAAAAAAAATCGGTATAATATTTAGGAATTGACGTAGAAAAAGTTGATGATTGTATGGAAAGATGGTAATGGGATTATTCGACAAAGAGTTCAAATTTTCTACGCAAGCTTTGATCACCGAGTCTCCTCCTCCTCCAATGGACCCCTCTTTATGAATAAATGACAAAAAAGAAAAAGGGAGAATGGGGACAACATTGAACAGAACCATTAGTAATCAGAAGCAATTGGCAGAGAGAGGAGAGTGTCCTGTCCTGTCCTTTCATTCTCTCATTGATTGTCTTCCTCAACTGAAATCTGCACTAACGACCTGTCCTTTCTTCCAACTGTAAACCCCCAATCTACGTAACCAACTCTGCCTTTGTGTGTCATAGTTCCTTTATGAAATGAATTTTGTCTATTGGTTTTCTGAGAAGATTATAACTCTGCCTAGGCTTTTGCCTAGCCGGTCCCAACCCGGAAAAAAGAGGAGGGTTTTTGCGATAGGTTGGCAACCAGAACAAAAGAAAACAAATGTCAAATTTTACATACAATGAATTCACAAGTTTTGAAGCGCAACGAGTAGAATAGACGAAGAATTCATGCGGCCTATCCCGAAGGAAATTGGGACTAAGGCGAAGTTGAAGGTTGAAGGTTTTCTGAGAATATTATGAAAAGATCCGAACTTTATTTCACATCTCCTCCAAAGAAATCATGTCATTGCAGTTATCATCGTCATCATCATCACCACTAACCCCAAATCTTCCCAATCACAGAAAAAAGAAGAATCAATGGAACATGCCAACTCATATTATCATCCCATCATCTACTCTTAACCTTCTCCCTAATGCTCTCTTTACCCGTTTCGGCTTCTAAATCCGAAGATCCAAAAAAAAAAATTCCATAGTTAGCATAGAGAAAACCATTATGTCAGCTGAATTCGACAGCCTCTACAGCGATCCCTCTTGTTCTGCCTGGCGCTCCTCCGTTGAGAGAAGATATATCCAACACGACCCTGGATCACCACGAACAACAATGGTTTCAGTTTCATTCACATGTGATATGAACTCAATAACAGATATCGAGATGAGAGTGAGAATTAAGTTTCAGAGGACAATAGTTCTTTACGTGTTCTCCGTCTCTCTTCCAGTTTCTTGAATCAAGATCTTGTCTTCCTTCTTTGACACAGTGTGCTCTGCAGGAAGATTGACCCCTTCCACCGCTGGATCGATCAAAATTTCAAATGCCCGTTATTGCAAAAATGGCGGAAGGGAAGATACCGAGATGGATCAGTTAGGGCGTATGGTTGCTTACCTTCTAAATTGTTGACCGGAGCGTTTCCATCTATTCCCAGGAGTTTCTGCAATGAAAAGAGCGTTTCTATGCATTAGAATATGAACAACAACTGTATGAATACTGATCAGAATTCGAAGTGCTCGAGAAGAATTCACCTTAAGGCTCTCGTAGCATTCCTCGAGGTTGTCGTTGCACAGGAAATGATGGAAGATGCCGGAAGATTTCCCCTCTTTTATCTCCGC